AGCGTGGTCCCGTAGCTCTGGGGGCGGTGCAAGGGCCCTCTCCGGCAGGGAAGGAGGAGGTCATGTGGAAAAACCAGACTTTTTCCCCCCTCGAGCGTGAGAAGTAGAGCTGCGGATGCGCGGTGGTGTGTCAAAAATTCTGTTTTTACATTTTGGCAGTGACAAAAGAGACTGCTGTAAAATAAGATAGGACCCGCAAAACTAGTCTTACTCGCCACTGATGTCCAGTGTGTGTAGCAACTGGGGTGTAAAGCTTTTGAAAGAATATTTATGTGAATGACTGCAGGCAGAGGAAACTCAATCTCTTACAAGGGGAAGCAAGAGAGGCACAAGGCATGTTATCTCAGCTGAAGCTTTCATAACTGGCTTAGGTCCTATTAGCTCAGACTGAGATTATTTTCTCTGCAGTCTGTTTGCAACTGTCTACATAGAAATTCTTCTAAAAATCTCAACTTTCTCTTTTTGCTGTACTGTCTCAATAGCCTGAATATTTGATAAAACTCTTCATGCAGTAGCGCAAGTAAAAGAGGGAAATCTTGCAGTCTAGAATGGACAAAGTTGAGCTGAGGTTTTAGTACATGGTCTGCAACATGCAGTAGGTGTTGTAACGATAAGATGTGTGAGTGATGCTGGAAGGAGAGCAAACTTACTTCATTTCCATGTTCTTGTGGTTTTGATCTACCATATTATTATGCATATAAAACAACTGGTAAGATTTTCACGATGCTGTTTGCTGTCTATTTGTTAGAAATACTTAACAGGGAATGAACCTGTGGTGTTCAGAATCAGTAGCCAGCTAAAAGCTGATCAAAAATGTCTTCCCTTAGGAAAAATCCTTTCCTGTGGAGATGCCCGTATTTGCACATATGTGATGTCATTAGCCACCTAAAACAAGCACGGAAAACTGTTTTAAAACAATGTAAAAAACCTGTGCAGCAACTATCAAGCTTTCTCAATAATCCATGTTTTTACATTATAACACAGTCATACTCAAACTTCATATAAAACCTTATTTGAAAGCTTTCCTGTTTACGGTTTCTAGAGGAATGCGCTCAGTAGAAGATTAAGATCTTATTAACAAATCAGTAGACAATAAACTGTAACTAGCAGTCTGCTTTTGCAGTGTAAGCAAGAACTTTAAGCTCATTTTAAAATGCAGCCCTAGCTGTGTGTTCACTACCTGATATTTTTCTGATCTTGCGTCTCTTCCTTATGTTTTACTTTTGTAGGCAGTGTCATGAGAATACTTGTGTTCAGTTCAGCACTTCTGTGTTTTCTCTCTGTCCTTTATGTTTTTGTCTTTGCATTCTTCCACACTTCGTGTATCTGTGGAGTGTAAGATAAAAGGAATGATCAAGCCCCACTTCCTATGAAGATTTTTTTCCCCTCTCTCTGTCTTTTTTCCTTTTCTTTCACAGAATTGTTACTACCTGTGATGTGGTACATCAAACTCAAGTGTGAAAGCACAAGGCAAAATTTCATATGGCAATCACTTTTGTGCTGAAGCGTTAAATTACTCTGAAGCTACTCCTGCTGGTACTGGATCTGCACGTGATCACTATTCACGCAATGAGTAAATTAGTAATCAAGAAGCATGATGGGAGTACTTACTAACAGGAAAAAAGCAGGAATCTGTGGCAGAACTGCCTTTTGTTGAAAACTGGGGAAAGTTCTGTAGGTAAGTAATGGTGTAAAACTAGTGATGGTTTAGCCATTCTTGAAGTTTATTGGTTTTGGTACACATGTAGTTTTAAGAGGTATTAATCAGCCATACTTCAATAACTTTTCTTTTTCTTATTCATCCTTGTAGCACTTTTGTTCAGTGGTTAAATTCAAGACATGGGGCCAATGAAATATAAGTCAGGTGTGTCCTCGGTGTCCTGTGGTCTGCAATATCACCATTTGTTGATAAAGTGGAGTCCAAAAATGAATTTACACATAGTGCGGACTTACTGCTCATCAGCACCTAAGAAGCCAGAAGCCAAGTCTGCGATAGAAATGGCCATGGGTCTTCTTAATCGGCTGACAGAAGCTGGGACTGTTATGGGAAAAACCTCTCTTCAAAAAATGTCTGCAACATGCAAGAGTTGGTGGGACAGATATGAAGAGTTTGTTGGAATTAATGAAGTTCGAGAGGCTCAGGGAAAAGTGACAGAGGTAAACATGGAGATAATGTGGAAATGTAAAAACTATGAGTTAAGCTGTATGAAGTATAAACTGGCTGTGAGGCAAAAAAAAGAGCCTCCAAGGAGAATCGTGTCTTTTTTTCTGCTTTGACTGTCTGTGCAGATACTATGAACGTGTTCTAGTCTATGCATGTTAGTAAATATAGCTTATCCCTTAGATTGAAATGGAGTGTGGATTGTTTTGTTTTTTTTTTTTTTTTTTTTTTGCCCCCCCCCCCCCCCAGAGTCATATAGTTAGTGATTTAGATCTGTCTGGTAATAAGTCTCTAAAATACATACTCTTTCTTCTCAGGCTGAAAATGTCTTTATGATAGCTCGAGGGATAGTACGAGAGGCTCGTGAAAATGTAGAAGCCCAACAGATTAAACTGAAGGATATTCGAGACCGCTTAGACAGGGTCTCTCGGGATGACACCCAGTATTTAGAACTGGCTACTCTGGAACACAGGTTGCTGCAGGTAATTTGTTGGTACTTGAGCACTGGCAAATATGATGAAAATTTGTGTGCTTTGCTTCCATCGCTAGTGACTGTTTTTGCAGATGCAGTTCAGTTCTGAAGTACAGTGAGTCAATTTCTGATGATACTTGTTTTAGTTAATTATTATAGATTATTTGATCTGCTGTGCAAGCTGTATATGTTAATGCTGAAATAGAGCATCAAATTTGGAGAAGAAAGCTGAAGATAACAAGCATAGAAAATGAATTGAGTGGTGACCTATACATGAGTAGTCAACAAAAAGCTGGGATTCAGTGAATTAAACTTCCATGTGGTGAGAGAAGCTTCTTTCTGGTTGTTAGTCAATTAAAACTCTCTGAGCTGCTTTCTGTGTGGCTGTGACAGCCAGGCAATTCAGTAAAGCTTTTGTCAGAGAGCAGCAAGAGCGAGGCTGCTCCGTGAGGGAGGGCAAGCAAGAAGTTGAGGTTGACCGCAGCACAGGCAGGGCAGTATGCTCACCAACAGGACACAGTCCTACAGCACCTCAGCTGGATGAGCCAAGTAGGGCTGGAGACAGGAACCTGTTTATTAACAGTCCATCAATCGGAGATAAAGACAAGGTAGCAGACAAAGTCAATCCAGGAAATCCAGATGAAGCTGCAGGAATAGCAAGGAACAGGCCTGGAAGCAGGTACACCTATGGCAAAGCTCAGGCAAGGAGTGGGTACCAATGCCTGAGCTTAAACTGAGCTCCTCGGTCAGTGGGTAGAACATCAGGAAAGAACTAGAGAGCTGTAGTTGTCTAAATAAGGGATCAGGTCTGTGTGGTTGAGACTTAAAGAAGAATAGAGCTCTGCATGACTATGAAGAAAGGTAGAACTCAAGTCGCTGCTGTCCGTAAGGTGGTGGTGCCATCTTACAAAAGAAATCCACACTTGGAAGAATGAGAATAGTTCTGGGAGATGCAGGGAGAAAGGGAAGAGGTTTGTCTGTGAGCAGGGTAGGAAAGAGAATGCAGAGGAATAAGAAGTGTGTATGTTCATGAGATGAACCTATCCGAGACATCGTTTCCAGTCCTATTGTTGGTTTCCACTTAAGGGGTTTAGAACTGAAAGGGAGAAGTGTGGTAAAAGTAGCGTTTGGAGAAGTAAGCAGGGCTGAAAAAGTGTACAGTATGGGGAGAGAAAGACCTTGCCCACTCATACCCCTTTTCTGTAAGCAGCATGTGACAGGTTCTTGTGCAGAGGATCTTCAGCTGTAATTCCTGGTGACCTTTTCCATTTCTCAGCTTTGACTTAAAATGATGTCTCATTGACTTAAGTAGGATTAATAAAGAAAATCCCACATTAAAAGGAAAATTTCTGAGACTAATGGATGTTTTAATTTCCATTCCTTCATCTGCATGGGGGTTTGGGGTTTGGGGG